GGAGCACTGTGAGGCCAGTGCCCAATGACTTCCGGAGTGTCAAAGCTGGAATCAGAATCTGGGCTTCCTGCATGTTAACATAATCTTCACCAAACCATGGGTGCATAAACCATATACAAAAAAGCCACAGAGACTCTTTTTACATAATTTATATACTGTGGAACTCAAGACGCTCACAGAGCAAAGTTACATGTTGCAGCGCTTGCCCTGATCTTTATGAGTTTGTGATAACTTGGCCCTGGGTACCTTATCGGCCAGACCCTTTTCATGAGTTTGATGAGGGAAGAGATTGCCCATTGCCTCTCCTTCTCTCCTTCCTGATAAACAGGGTGGACTCCCCTACCTAGGGCTGGCTTAAGACCAGTATGGCTGAGCAACAGTCCATGGTGCTAAGCTATAGGGCCACCAAAGAATGGGGGACACTTAGCAGGACGGAGAAAACGGTCCTTATCAGAACGCCTCTCAAACAGAGTATGTTATGTTGGAAGGAATGGTTTTATGAAATCACTTGAAACCCCCACCTGACTTCTCCTTTCCCTTCTCATCAAAGAAAAAATGTAAGTCACAACGAAGGGTGTTAAACTACCTACTTAATCTAAAGAAGGATGCCGTGATTGTGGGTTTGAGGTAACAACTTTGGAGCCAAAGCTGAATGACTAGTGACAGTAGAGGAGAAATTAAAGCATAACCACCAGGGAGCCTCCCTCTGCCTTCCCATCATAGAACTCACCCAGTTGGACAACATTGTAAAGAACTACCCTTTAAAGGGTACCAAATCACTCATTCTTCCAGGGTGGCTTGGGCTGACCTTGCCATCACAGAAAGAGAATCTGTCTAAACCAATGCCAGATGGTTGAGTTCAGCTCACTCTTGAAGCAGAGGGAAAACAGATTATGCCTTCATGGCTTGGGGAGTTCCTTTATGGCCAACTGATGGAAAATACTATGAAAAATGTCGAACAGTTCTTACAAAATATATAAAAGGAAAAAAACCTGTAGCCCACATTTTTGGCCAAAATTTTGGCTATAATGTTTTAATGTTTGCTGACAGTCAAGTTCAGTTTTGTATAATTCTTTTTTTTTTTTTTTTTGAGATGGAGTCTCACTGTTGCCAGGCTGGAGTACAGGGCTTGATCTCGGCTCGCTGCAACCTCCGACTCCCTGGTTCAAGAGGTGCTCCTTCCTCAGCCTCCCAAGTAGCTGGGATTGCAGGCACGCACCATTACACCTGGCTAATGTTTGTATTTTTAGTAGAGATGGGGTTTCACCATGTTGGCCAGGATGGTCTTGATCTCCTGACCTTGTGATCTGCCTGCCTCGGCCTCCCAAAGTGCTGAGATTACAGGCAAACTTTGTGTAATTCTTATAGGAGAAAGAATCAACTGCCTAGCCCCAGAATGAAAAAAGTTTAGACCACAATGCTGCCACTGAATTATTCCTATAATGTTGCACGTTATTATTATTATTATTTTATTTATTTATTTATTTTTTTTTTTGAGACAGAGTTTCGTTCTTGTTACCCAGACTGGAGTGCAATGGCACCATCTTGGTTCACCACAACCTCCGCCCCCTGGGTTCAAGCAATCCTCTTGCCTCAGCCTCCCGAGTAGCTGGGACTACAGGCGCACACCACCATGCCCAGCTAATTTTTTGTATTTTTAGTAGAGACGGGGTTTCACCATGTTGACCAGGATGGTCTCGATCTCTTGACCTCGTGATCCACCCCCCTCAGCCTCCCAAAGTGCTGGGATTACAGGTGAGCCACCGCGCCCAGCCACATGTTATTTTTCATCCTCCCTAAGGCTCACTTTCCTCATCTGTAGAATGGGATGACAAAGTTACCTGTTGTGAATTTAAATGACATAGTGTTTTAAAAATATTGTTGCAGTGCCTGGCACACAAGTGCTCAAGATATATTATTGAATTAATTGATAATGAGTGAATTAATAGATATTAGGTCATGTTAGTAATAATCTTGTATATATAGGAACCCTAAGGAGGATGGTAAGTCCTACTATGAGGGCAGCTGTTTGGCCATGAGAGTCCTGTATTTGTGTTAAATTTTATCAATAACTAAATTAAAATTTTTCACACAAGATATATTTTTTCAAGGAAGAAAAAAACCAGAAAGAGCTAATGAAAACATGCTCAAGATTCCTAACATAATGAAACATGATATGAAACACATACCATGTTTGAAATGCACATTGAGTTTATGAACTGAAATTTCACAAAATCCCACTGGGACTATCCCTGGAGGAAAATTAACCTTTAATTATTAAACTTTTTGTGGATGCCACTGGCATCTTCTAAGAAAATATCAATTCCTTCAAAACACACAAAGATGTGTTGATATAATGCCAAACTCATATATACACATATACACAGAGACAAACACACAAATACATATATAATTCCACATTGCATTGATAACGTTAAATTTTTTGTGAAAATTATTTTACATGTGATGGTAAATTATGCATAGCAGATACTGTGTTTAGACAGTTTAGAAGTATAGAAGTAGAAGGAACAGATAGGAAATAATCAGACTAAGCTGGCTGACGTATCTATCATGGAAACAAAAAAATGTACAGTAGGAAGTGGCTGTCTTTATATTTCAAACTAACATTGTGCTTTGATGAGCTACAGGGTGCATTTGTTTCAGCAGTTGTTAGAAAGCAGACTCCACGTGCTAGACTGGAAAAAACATTGGACGAGAACTGGGAAATCAGCCACGTGACCTTGTTAAGCTAGGGACATTTGTTTTCTATAGCCTCAGTTTTCTCATCTGTAAAATGGCCATAAAAAGCCCAGTCCTGCTTATTTCATGAAGATGATGTGATCAACTCCCTCACTTTGCACATGAGAAAACTCTCTTGAAGTCATATAGCTAATTGATGACAGTATCATGACTCGACATAAAAGTCTTTTGAAGACTTGGACTTTCTGTAGGAACAAAGCTGCCATTGAAGCAACAGACAGGAAAGTGCTTTGAAAAATGTCACGAGGATTTCGTTCAGTAGAAGTATTATGGACTATATCTGCCAAAGTCCTTTTGTGGCAATTAATTAGCAAATGCCATTTGAGACTGTACCTGGAACTTTAGCAATAACCATCTTTCTTTTAAAATCAAAAACACTCTGTTTCATTTCTCAACAATGACACAAGAAGTAAACAATTAACTGACTTAATTCAAACACTGAAGTGGAGTTTCAAGGACTTCACTCGCCCAAGCTAGTTTTCTACAAAGCCTAAATTAATCAGATAATTACTAATTCTCCCCTTTGTTTTGTGCTGAGAGTCGGCATTTGTTAAAATGATCCTAGTGGCAGAATAAACAGTCATTAAAAAAATTTTTTAATCCCAAATCTGAACTAAATGAGCACGTTTCAAACACACTATTTCTTTAGGTATTGTCTCCAGCCATTGTTTTAAAAGGTTCATTTTCTTTATCTGAATGTGAACATTAATACCACTTTTGTGATTAAAAGGAAGATTTTAAGCAAACAAATTTTAAAAAATCAAACTAAACCAATATTTCAGGATGTTGTGAACATGATTCGATGTGTCATTAAGAAAAAAAAAAAAAAGTAAATACCTCTCCTGGCATAACTAAAAGTAACAGTTAAGTCTTTAAGATTAAATTCTTACTGACACACTTTAAAAATATAGTCAGTTTAGCATGGCTTTAAATAACCTCCACTTAACAACTAGCAAAATTTTAAAATTAAGTAAACAATGCTAATTACCTTCCTAATATCAAGAGGAAAGTGTAGAAAGTAATTTAATTAATTGGCTCTGAAAAATTAATTACATATGAAATGAGACTCATTAGAGCTTTCGTGTTTCATCAGAATTTCAGACTAAAGGATAACTGGTCTTATCACTTATGGTTTCTTTGTGGTTCAGCTAGCATAAAATAGACTTGTGATAATAATTAAATATTTTGCCCAAATAAATTTAGAACTAGAACGTTAAAACAAACCTGTGTGAACAAAGTAACAGTGTTACTTTTCCACTGTATTTAGTTCTTATATTTCACTGTAAAGATATTACTGTGTGTGTGTGTGTGTGTGTGTGTGTGTGTATCATGAACTGACAAAGAAATAACAATTAACTTTCAAATTCAGTACAGCAGTATAATTTGGTTTTGTCATGTGGGGCATTAGCTAAAGTGAAAATGTGACTAAAACACTTTATGTAACATAATAACTGTTGATTACTCAGATAGTTTTCATAAACAGTTGGCAAATTGTAACTTACAACAGCTGTCACTATAAATTTAAAGTAAATGTTAATTTAGAAATATTAACCTTGTGAATGTTTCTGTAAATAAGGCTTATGCTGTTTCCAAAGTTATAGAAAATCACTAGAGTATTTTTAGCCAAACTTAGTGCAACTTTAACCTCACTGTTTTTAAATTCTTCAGTTTTACACATAAAAGGCTTTAATCATACTTTAATGGTTTTTCAGTGATTCCCTTGAGTGTACAAACTGCATAAGGAAATGTATTTGATAGATTTACGTCTTGGAAGTGAGAGAATAAATAAACTAAAGAAACAGTATTGCCAGAGATACATTTTACTCTTTTATATAAGAAAATAAAGAAAGCATTTGCAACCAGCAAAGTTCCAGGGACTGTTTACTAAATAACCTGTAAATACTTAGCCATTGTAGCTCACAGATCTCAGGGGCTGAAGTACCCGTTGTGTGCTAAAGTTACCACTGTTCTGTTTTGTGCTGTTTGTAAAACTCATTCCCAAGGAAAATTTGCATGACAGATTGCAAACCCTCTTGTATAAACTACTAAAACTTGCATCAAATTCCATAGTTACTCTGATCCACACCTTCAGCATAATGTAGTATTCAGCTGTATAAATGCTTTCTACAAAACTAATTAAAACCATTCTTTTCTCAGAATACATGCAAAAAATGCAGTGAAAGCTACCACAAAACTTAAAACGAGTATCTGCAACATGCTGAGCTCTTTACAGTACTCACCCGTTCGGCAACTTAGTTCCTCCTGGCAGCACTTCTGTGCCAAATGCTTCTACCTTCCCAAAAATGTATGTCAGCACAAGCCCAGACGAAAGTTCAAATCCAGGAAAATAAAATTGAGCTTGGAGATGAAATGCCTGTAATCTGATCAGTGATCAGTTGCTGAACATCAAAGGCAGGGCTGAGTTTAAATATATGCACGGATATCAAGAAAGTTCACTTTCAGCAGGTAGTCACCCTCCCGTCTCCTAGTCCACACTTTCTTTTGTTAAACCTGGATCACGTTGTTTTCCTCCCCTGTTTTGCAATGAAGCAATGCTGGTAGTTCTCCCATGCTTGGGCTGAGTGGCTGGATCTGTAGCTTTTTTGGTTCCCAAGCTGTGTTGTGGACTGCGTGTTGGAAGCTTTTCCTAGTGCCAGCGGGTCCTGCTTTATCCCTTTCATCTCGCTGAGCTGCAGATCCCATGACATCATTCAGTGCCGTGGGACTGGTAGGAGAGCTATAATTCAGCCTGTGGGGGAGTTTAGCTCAAGAGAAGCCAGAGTTGGGCTGATTTCTAATCACGTTAGACTATTGTGCCTCACACAGGACAGTTTCTGTTATCTGTCTCCCAGCTGGGAAGGACAGCAACTGCTGCTGAATGCTTCTTGGGTGATAAGATCCCTGATGGATGGTCTCGCCAAATGACAGCATTTAATTGCCTCTTCGCTGATAAAAATCACAATTTCCTACAGAGACTGAATGTCAAATATTCAGCATAAATAGCACTGTGAGACCACTCTAAAACACAGCCAATGACACTAGCAGATGGACCGGATAACATTTTTACATTTTGTTTTCCTTAAAGTGACAAGTCTTTAAGGATTTTAGGTAAACTGCCCTTTCTTTGAAACATGCATTATTAGGATGCGATTGCCAATCAAACCGGGGTGTGTTAAGTAGTTAAGCAGCAGATAACCAGCAATTCATGAATAAACTATCTTCCACTGGCTCACTTAAGACTTTGGGCAGAGACTTAATCTCAGTCTTTGCCTTAGTTTGGGACTCTGGAAATTAGATTTTAAAGCAATGTCTACTTCTTAGACATAATTCATTAATACTTGTTGGGCATTTAAAAATTCACAGAAGAAGAATTATCTAGAACAAAGCATTTGCCCTTGTGATTATTCCAAAGCCATGTTCTTTGCCTTTTGGGTCTGTTTCTTCAGAACTCATAGTTTGGACTTTCAGCTCATTAAAAAATTACCACCTTAGCCTAATTATTTCTATTTTAAAATTAAATATATTGCTCATTATTTAAAATTTTTAACCATTTTCCTTAACAATGTTAGATCAAATATAATATGATTATTTTATTTTTAGTATTTAGTAAAATAGAAGATAAGAAGAAATTTCATCTTCCTCGAAATCCAGGATATGGTGCTTTTGTGATTTTCAGATAGTTCTTTCATGGAATGAGGACAACTTTCCTATTTTGTAATAGTAACTCGCCAATCTTTAGAAGGTAAGTTAAACTTACTTTTGCAAAACTTAGGGGATAGCAGAGCTCAATCTTTTTAAATGTAACTTCCCTCCCTAACTGGTTTTGCCTAATTTTTCCTGATGTGATATTTGAAAATGTTGCTTATGAAGTGTTTATTTCCAGACTTCTATGATTCTTGAATAATTTTAATAGCAAAATATTTGGTTTGAAGAGTTCATGAGTTCAGTATAACATTCAAATTTTCCTCTTGAATTTTCAATGTCTCTTGTATAATTTTTCTACCTTACACATCATTTCTCAAAAATGCACAGAGCTCAAATAGTATTTGAACTGGCAAGTGTGATGCTTAATGACTTCCTTAAAGCAGACCAGGAAAATTCCTGTGACACCTGGTCTTCACGTTTCCTGGGCTCCTTGAACTCATGAATACAAAGGAAATATTCACAAAGACAAAATATTTACAAGAAGACATGTGCCCATTTCTTTTCTGAGGTAGTCTAACCCCACCACCAACATGGAATCCATATTCCATCAGCCTGCCCTCAGGATTAAAGGTTCCCAATGCACTGATATATTAAATCAGAGCAACTAGACACTCTGTAAGGCTCATTGGCTAAGCAAGCAGATTCTGTCTTTATAGAGTTCAACACCAGTAGAAATAGGTGAAAGACTGAATTAGGATTCTTATGTTCTACTGGAAGCATACAGGAAGCACTTGAAAGCAGGGACTTGAAGGAAAACCAGTCAAATGATCTTCAATTTATATACATCTACCCAAGCAAGATTTATAGTTCAAGATACATCTAGCAGTGCAATACCATCTCCAATGGAGGAGTTTATTCACCAAGTCCCAGAACATTAGTTTGAATTGGTCCTCTTGTGGCCAAGAACTCCCAACATGTGAGATGAAAGGGGGATGAGGCTAGGGCCCCATCTGTCGCCTGGACCAGAGTGTGGCTAAAGACCGGCCTGGCTGCAGGAGTGACCTCCTGACCCACAGCTCATTTAACACTGTGCCCAGCTGGCCGAGCCCTCTTCATTATGAGATGAGGCCTGGACCATTGATGTTTCTGAACAGCACCAGGAAGGGGAGCTACTGCAAGGTTAGTGTGATTGAATCAGTGTGATGCTGTGGTGATAAGCTCTCCGGTACTCCACTCGACATCACTTCTGTTGTAATGACACCAAGTTACAGCATTTGATCGATGATTCCAGTGCCATGCTGCAGTACACTTGGCCCATCTTAGTCTCTTTGCCACGCTGACTTTCAGCCACCGGCCCTGCAACGTGGCTGTGGCAGCCATCGGATCCACAGAGGGGAGCTCCAGGCTACACTTCAAAAGAAGTGGTCAGCGTCTGAAATGTCGGCCATGTCAGTTACCCTGATTTGATCACTACACCTTATAGATAAAGAATGTCATTAGGGGCCCATGAATATGTATAACTATTATTAACCAGTTAAAAAAATAAAATAAATGATGGAGAACTTCAATTGTTCATATCCAAGAATGGAGGAGCTGCCTGAGAGTCTTGATGGGGGAGTGGGGTCTCATGTCACCCCCAGTTGCCACTGGGTGCTATTTTCTTCCCGACGCTTGGAGCGTGACTCCTTTGTTTCTCTATCTTGACAGGTGAATGCCATAAATTCTTACCATTGTAAGATATAAGTTCAGGTGATAACACATCTTCTCCCTCAAGTTTCATCGTTTTTAGAGTGGTCTGCATGTCTTTTCTAATGCCACCTTTTCTAACTTTTCTATTCAGAGGCTACATCCTGGATTGTATCAGATGAGTACAGCTCTATTACATATATTGAGAAGAATAATTTCTGCATTTGTTTCATCTCAACACTTTTTTAAACATGAAATAGCTCATGGTTAGGCAAAGAACATAGATGCTGGAGTCGGAAAGGCCTGTGTTCAAATCCCTCTTACCACCTGTACTTTAACAACAGCTTAGGCAGTGTCGATGAAGCCTACTTAGTTCCACTGAGCTTTATCTTCCTGAGCTACAGGAAGAGGATAACACTGACCTCATTAGTGCTGCTGAAATAACAAACTTATTTGGAGACCATCAAGCAGAATAAACCCTCAACAGAAAAGCTAAGGTTCGTTTCTTTTCTCTGTAACTATTAAAGTAAGTATGAAGGAACCATAGGAAGATGCCAGCATTTTAGCTGGGGGATCCAACTCAAACTTCAGTATTTTAAAGGGGCAGGGCAGGCTCTCAAACAGCTTCTGGGCTGGTTTTTCAAAGGCCATGTGGTCCAGACATCCTCAGGTTCTTCACGATGTTGGGACCACTTGTACATGACCTGGGATCAGTAGCAACTATCTGGGACCACTGTCCACATAATCGTAGAAGGACAATGGCTCAAGCCTGTTCTGCATTGGATTGTATCCCCCGAAATTCCCATGTTGGCATCCTGACTTCCAGCACCTCAGATAAACATCAGTTTATCTGGAGGTCGGGTCTGTACAGGGGTAATCAGATTCAGATGTGGGCATTAGGGTGGGCCCCAATCCAGAATGACTGGTGTCCCTATATAAAGGGAGGTTTAGATAAAGAGGCAGACACTCATACAGGAAGAACGTTGTGTGGACATGAAGATGACCATTTACAAGCCAGGGTGAGAGGCTGGGAACAGACTCATCCTTCTCAGCCTCAGAAGGAACCAACCCTGCTGACACCTTGGTCTCTGACTTCCAGCCCCCAGACCTGTGCGATAACACATGGCTGTTGTTGAAGTCTGTGGTACATTGTTATTGCAGCCTCAAGAAAGTAATACAAAGCCACTATTCAACAAACTGCAAGGAGGTACAGTTCCCATTTTCCTATGTTTCAAAGCCTTACATTCTCCTCATCAGCGTGCCCTCCAATCTGCCTTCTGAAAAGCACCCACAGCTCCGTGGACACCCCTGCCCTGCTGGACTGCTTCCTCCATCATGGGCAGAAGGCTCCTTCCTTTTCTTAAAGGGCCAGTTCAGGGGTACAGTTCAGTGAAGCTGAGTATGACTGAAAGTCACTAAACGTAACTGGGAGAGAACCCAGTTTCTGGCTACTGTAAATAAAGCTGCCATGAACACCATGAACCTGAAAGAGCCAATCCTTCTAAGTGGATCCTGAGTGGCTAACTGGGTCTAAACTAAAAATGGAGCCAGGTCACAAATGTAGTTTGCATTCTCTGAGAAACCACAGGTACTCACATGACTTGGGGACTTTGTGGCTGGCTGTTCCTGTTTATGCTCCTGATTTGATGGCTGTTGGGAAGTCTCGTCTTGACACCTGGATCTAACAAATAAACTTGTGACCTGCATTGACCAATCAGAACCAAAAATGCTTGTATCCCTCATTTGCATAGTGGTCATTTGTATGGCAGACCAGAGTGGGAGCCGGGGCGGGAGCTTTTTCTATAAAGGATAACCTGTCTCTCTGTTCTCAGGGAGAGCATCTTTGTTTTGTAATGAAGGCTGGGTGCAAACTGCTTGTAGGAATAAAGCATTTCTGTTTTTTAAGGAAGATCCTTTTCAGTGGATTTGTTGACAACACTTGTGTACAAATCTTAGTGTGGATATATAGTTTCATTTTTGTTAAGTAAATACCTAGGAGTAGAATATCTGGATTATATGGCGAATGCATGTTTAACTTCAAAAGAAACTGCCAAATTGTTGTCTAGAGTGTTTGTTCCAATTTACATTCCTGTTGCAATACATGAGATTTCCATTTGCTCTATTTCTTTGGCAACAGTTGATATGGTCAATCTTTGTCATTTTAACTATTTAAATGCAATCTAGTAGTAGCTTATGATAGTTTAAATTTGAATTTTTTGATGCTAGCACTCAATGTATACATAGAGACTTTACTTTTTAGAACGGTTTTAGATTGACAGAAAAATTGAGCAGCTGCTACAGAGATTTCCCATACATTCCATGTGCCCCACTCAGCTTCCTCTATTATTTGCATCTTGCATCACCATGACATATTTGTAATAATTAATGAATCAATATGGGTGCATAATTAACTAAAGTTCACAGTTTACACTGAAATTCATTCTTTGTGCAGAGACTTCTATGGAATTTTTTTTTTTTT